TTATTTTTTAAATTTTAAGAGGGTTGAAAAATAATAAAAATTATTTTTTCTATTAAAATTTGAAAGTAAATTTATTACTACGCAGTTGCTAAATTAAGAGATTGAATTATAAATTTTTAAAATTTAATACTTAAAACTTAAGTTGAATTAATTAGTTTTTTTAGGACTTTCTATCGTTCTTCTTAAAAATTTTAAGATAACATTGCTCCAAAAAAAAAATTTACAATTTGCAGTTGAATTGTTCAATTTTACACGTTGAATATGATCGATCATGTATGGGAATGAATTTGGTTCCATGGAGGAGATAGAGAATCAGGTAGAGTGAGGAAAAACACGTCAGAAGGGCAAGAAAAAAAAAAATTAAAGGACACATATCCAAGCGTGTGGCCCTCGGTTTATTAATAATTTAACAACGTTAGAAGCCTTTTAATTGTGAGACTAAAATTGCTACATTTTGACAAGTCTGAAGACAATTACTTCACATAATAGTTTAGTATACTTAATGCTCTTGAATAAATAATTTAAAAGTAAAAATGTACTTTAATCCTCTATAATATTGATTGATATAAAGGTGGATGATGAAAATAATTTGTTGAACTAATTATTTTATGATTTAGGAAAACCGTTTGGGTAAACGAGTACGAATAACCCTACAATATTTTTGTGAGATTCGTGTGGTTATAAGGAGTGCATGAAATTAAACACCAGAAATACTAAAGTACATTACTATTGAATATTCAGGTGACACACCACAAGCCTGGCAAGAGAAACCTAAGAATTAAGAAGCACACATAGATAATAACCGCAAACAAAATAGGGATCAAGGGACACTGTTACGTACATAGTCAACATTTGAAAGTGTGTGACTAACATTCATGAGTACGGACAGCTACATTCCCAGCCATTTATACTGTTCCTGACTTTGGTTGAGAATTCGAAGATACATTAATGCAACCAAAATGACGAGATTACGATGAAGAGAGACGAAGAATCACGTTTTCCAAAATATCTATTGCCTTGTTAAAAAATATAAAACATTTTCAATCAAATCTCATCCTTCAATAAAATAATTATTTATTTTTAAATTAACCTTATTTTTTTATATTTATTTTTATTAAACACCCTACAATAAATATAAAATCATTATTAAAAAAAACTTAAAGAAAGGTAATGATTACACTTTAAAAAACTAAAAATATCCTATATTTTTAAACATCTAACCTTTTAAAAAATATTTTATATTTTTAAACAGAGCGAGTTTGAATTTTACCCATATGTCATTTTTATAAGGTTATACTGTCAATAACTTTTATACTATTAATTGAATAAATTAAATAAAATTAGTTCAATGTTAAAAAGTTTCACAACGTAACTTTCTAAAATTACTCTTTAATTTGATTGGTATGATTTATTGCGGGGAGAGTAAGTGATGTAAAAGCCTTTATTTAAGTAGGGGTACTGATCAAAAGGGGCAAATGCACTTTTTTTTTTTTGGCGAATGGGCCAAAAAAATGTTATTAATTTTTATAAAATATTTTTTTAATTCAAAATATAAGATATTTTTAATTATAATTTGAATATCAATAAAATTTAGTTATATCCTTATTTTTACTTATAAATATCATAAGTTTTTTTTTACCCTTTTATCCAATTATTAATAATAAATTAAATGAGAGGGATGATATTTTTTTAATGAAGTACTATAACATGAGAAAGCGTGAGTCTCCTTACAAACCAATAAAGTTTTAGCTATCATAAAGGGTGAAAAAAACGTAATAAACATCAACAAGGTTACATAACAAACCAAGTTAATAAATACAAAGGTGAAATAGGAAAAATATTTTAAAACCTATCAAGTGTCTTATATTTTGAACCAAGATAAGTTGAAAGAAATGTCTTATAATTTAAATCAGAAGGAGTAATTATATTAAAAAGTAATAGCCCATTTAAAAACATGGAAGTGTTTTTAACGAAAGAGAGTGGACGAGGAGGTAAGATTTAAAACATATTCCCTCCGTTTAAAAGCATAAGGCATTTTTTAAAGAGTTAGATTTTTAAAAATGTAAGGCATTTTTAACCTCTTAAATTGTAATAATTGTCATTTTTTTCAAAAATGTCTCTATTGATAGTGACTTTATATTTATTATAGAGTATTTAATAGGGGTAAATATGTAAAGATAAAGTTAGTTTAAAAGTAGGTAACTACTTTATTGGAGGTGAGATTCGGTTAAAAATACTTTACATTTTTTAATGGATGGAGTATTTGATATGTGTGAAAGTAAGGTGTAATTTTTAATTAAACTATATATTTATAATATGAAAATACTGAAATGCCCTCTAAATTAAAAAAAAAAAAATCTCTTCATCCATTAGAACCATTCACCACCCCCGTAAACAACCGTCAAGAACAAGACTAACTATATCAAACCCAAAAACTGAAAAGAATAAAAAATCAGCCAGCATAGCATTCAGCAACATCCAATGCAAAAATCAAAAACAAAAAACGAATCGCTCATTGCTACAGTCACCACAAATCGATCCAATTCTCTTAAAAAAAAATCATATTGATGATCAATATCTCAATAATCGCGCAAATATGGAGATGCAACAGATGCAAAAATCAAAGAGAAAATGGATTTAATATTCGACCTAGAGATTGAAAATGAAATCAAAGACATAAATCGTTATGCGGATCGAACTCGGGGAGGAGATAATGGAGGCCTTGAACAAGAGAAGCTACATCTAAGTTCGTTGAGATCTTTCTATTCATGTTCATTAAGATCACACTCGGGAAAGAGAAATCATCGCCCACCTTCATTTAATGTTTGTTGCTGACTTCAACCTTTGCCGTGGAGCTCCATTTTTGTCGCCAATGGGAGCCATCAAGGAGGGTGGGGGATCAATATATCATGGAGAAAGGGAGAAGGTAGAGCTTGAAGAGTAAAGATGGAAATGGGTCCCATGGAACCTTTCGGAGGGTTTGATGGAACTGAGCTCTATCAAATTTGATGGAAGCGGTTCCATCAAGAACTGAGTTCACGCACACCGAACTATTTTTCAGAATTTTCACTTTCACTTTCGCTTTCGCTTCTCCAACCCCAATTTCAACATACCAGCCAAGCCAGAATGATTATAATCTCATAAATAAAAGGGATTGGAAAATATAGTTCAGGCTCGAGCATGCAATATATTTTTTTAAAACTGTTATTTGCCGTAATTTGATGCTTTGTGTTGGTGTCACGTGATAAACAGTGATATTTGGCACTACTGTCAAGTTGACCAAAACCAATAGTCCAATAAGGCAATCAGAGTAGTTTTTTTTTTTTAAATAAAAATAAAACCAGCGAACATCATCGGAGTTTCTTACGAGAGTGAATGACTACTCTAATTTAATACCATCATACAGGAAAGCAGCCAGCTGACGCGATAAAATATTATACTTTTATTATTAATATCAATTAATTATTATCTAATAGTTAGGAATAGCCATTCTCTATTATTTTATACTTAATTTGGGCCAAAAAATTGTTTTTATTTAATCAGATAATTAATTTTCCTTTTGAATTTTCATTCCATCATGTCCATTTTCTTTTTTTAACTATATTACTTAATTTGTTAACCATTTTAATTTAATCTCTTGATTTTTTTTTAAAATGTCGTTTCAACCCTTTAATTCTAACATAATTAATTTTACTAACAAAAAGCACACAAATGATTATTTTTGCATTCATAATTTTTATTTTTAAAAAATTAAAATTTATGTCTCAACATTTAATAATGTTTTTTTAGCATTTGAAATTGCAATATAAAGTGGAATTTTCCGTTAATTTATAAAATTTATGGCAGGGTTAGAAGATTGAACACATTTTATAAAACACACAAAAGATTATTTTTGTATTCATAATTTTTATTTTTAAAAATTAAAATTTATGTCTCAACATTTAATAATGGTTTTTTAGCATTTGAAATTGCAATATAAAGTGGAATTTTCCGTTAATTTATAAAATTTATGGCAGGGTTAGAAGATTGAACACATATTTTATAAAATTAAATAATTAAAAAGGCCACTTTTTCTTCATCATCATCATCTCGCTTCGAGCTAAGCCAAGTCATCAGATTTAGAAGAACCAAGTTTATCATGTCACTAGTTCACTGAATAAGCTTACCAAAAGGAATGTTAACGACATATAGAATATGGGGAAGTTTGAAGAGTATGAAAGACTTGATGAATATAAAAATAGGCAACCGACAAGTTAGAACATTTTGTTCACATAATATAAATATTAAATCCTATATCGCTTACCCAAAAAAACCATAGGTCAACAACAAGGCAACCTTTTTACTTCAACTTCAACAATATGAAAGACGACGTTAACTAACTTCGAACTAAACCTAGAACCAGTGAACTCCTTCAACAATACGACACACATCCCATGAAAGCTATAACTAAAACTTGCTACCCTAGCCATATAGGTACATCAGGGTATAACTCATAATCCTACTACCATTTTTCATACTCCTAATACAGTGGCTAGAAATTATTTAATTAACTAACTACCTAGAGTTTCATCTCCATTACATGCACATAATGAAAAACAAAAAAATTGCTGATCAGACACGCTTTTCAACTGTAAAACATGGAAGATTACAATCCTTCTGTTTCAGCATATGTAACCTTTTCTGTTCATCCTTCTTCCTGAAAACAAATATATGCCTCTTGAATACTTTCTTACCAATATTAGAAGCTCCTACATGACAGGAAAAACACTGCACATGTAAACAGAAAACTCCAGGCTGGCCAAAAAAATAAATAAAAATAAAAATAGAAAACTCGAGGGAAATTAAGACACACGCATATAGAAATATGGTTTTTCAAAATATGAATATACACACTGCACATGTAAATAGAAAACTCGAGGGAATTAATACACACACACACACACACATATAGATATATGGTTTTTCAAAATATGTATATACTAACCTTTATAATTAAGACTCTAAAACGGAAGTGCTAATTGATCCAGTAGGCCAGTGACCGGGGCGGCAAGTCTAGGCTCATAAGCAAAGCCATGCAGAGCAGAAGCTCCACTGCTTGAAGCTACGAAAGGACATGGAGGAATCCATTGCCATCTCTTCCTGCAGATATCAAACAGCAAAACCTTATCTGTTCCTCTGATCATTATCACAATGAACTCACCATGCCCTACACAGTCAAACCCATTGCCTCCTTCCATTTCTGCGAACTGCACATAAAGTTGCTGAGGCATCCTCTCTGTCTCCACCCATGTCGTCCCACAAGCCTGAAGAACCCATACCCTTAAGCTCCTAGGAATGTTAAGCTTGCTCTTCTCAACTGCTGCCACTAACAGTAACTTTCCTTTGCTTTCAATCAAACTCGGAGACCTCAGAAACCTCCTCATTGGGGCCTGGATTTTGGACCAAGTATTTGAGGAAATATCGTGGCATAAAACACTAAAAGGGCTGTAATTCATGCAGTAGAATCTCCCTCCAGCGTGAACCATCTTGCCAGATTCCAGACTACACAGTCTAGGAAGAGATGATGTGGTTCCCCAGATGGAATAAAACCCGCTCGAGTCAATATGGAAGCTTTCAGATGTTAGGTTTTTCACAGCATAAGGGGAAATCATGTCGTCACCTGCAACAGTGAGATCTATGGAGGAATGGGAAATGGCTAGGCCAATGGAAGGAAAGAGTCTTGACCTTATTGTGGGAGGTAATTGAGTTACTGTACCAAGTATTGGATTGGAGAGAATAAGAGTCTTGGGACCAGCCTCGTCTGATACAAAGCAGACTAAGCCCGAAGAAGAAGACGAAGGAGAGAAACCAGAAGGTACAAGAGGAAAGAGAATGCGGTACCAAGCGATTTCATACGGATCGAACAGGTACGCTTCACAACAGTGTGTGGTCGTAGTAGCAATGCCACTACTGCTTCTACTTCCACCACCACTGGTACTAGGGTTCTTAGTGTAGATATAGCTGCTCTTGAGGTTTTTGTTGTGGCTGAAGAATATGAACCAATGGTGGGGTTGTGAGATTTGGAGGTGAAGTTGAAGGAAAGTGTTGGAGAACAAGAGGCCATAGAATCTCTTGCAGACACAACGTGCTCGGAAGAAAGCAGGTGGTGGAAGGAAGGCCAAGACTCTGTCAAGCAATCTCTGTGGAAGCTTACTCCATATTCTAAAGTCCATCCATTGAGTGGTGTACGTGCTTGATGAAGAAGACGAAACTGGACCAGAACCAGAACTGAGATTGAAAGTGTAAGCAAACGGCGATGACGGACTCATAAGCGGGTGAAATCCCTCCATGTAGATTAAAATAGTTTGCAAGTAGAGCTAGGCCTTTCTGCTTTGGGTTTAGGTTGATATATTATAGGGAAAGCACCTAATAAGAGAAAAAGTACGGATAGGTTGCCTTTTGGAGGAATGCTAACAGCAGGAGGAGGAGGAGGAGGAGGAGGAGGAGGAGGAGATCAGGTAAAAAGGAGTTTCCAAACTAGTGAACACATATGGGATGAAGTGGGACTAGATGTGAGTCATTAGGAGCTAGCTCGTCCACATATGCAAATAGTAATTAAGTATGTTATCTTGTTTTGAGGGTTAAAGCATGTGCGGAGATTGGGATGGACGCGTCTATCATTTCAGTGTTGTTTTGTCAAGGCCGAGGATTGGAAGGACGAAGTTGCAGAAACACTCAAAAGAGTGAGAGAGAATGAAAGATGATCCTTGGTGACTGATGAGAGCCGAACTCCTTGCAAGTACAAATACATCCTGCAACACATAGCTAATAATAAGAGCAATAAGAAAAACAACAACATTAACTCATAAATACATGCTATCTTAAATTTTTATATGATGTAATTTTTTTTTAACTTTTAAAAATGTGGGTTTGTTGCTAAAAATTTAACTATGATTGTTGACGTTAAAGTTACAGAAAAAATTTCAAAAATTACAAAAAAACTCATAAATTACAAATAAATACTTTATAAGAAAATTAATATTAAGTCTCTGGGATTACATATGAATTATAGAATATAATTGATATTAATTTTTTTATAAAGTATTTGTTTGCAATTTTACGAGTCTTTTTTTATAATTTTTAATCAATTAACATTTAAAGTTAGTTTTGCTAATGGTAGAGAATGAGAAAAAGGCGTTACATGAAAATTTAAGATAATATATATTCCTAAATGAATAGTTAAAAGATAAAAAATGTTCAATAATCATCCTCATTATTATTATAATATTCAATTCATTTAACTTCAAATAAATAAATAAAAAATCTGATTTTCTTATTCATTTGTTTGACTCTTGTTGTATGAATTCATGATTCACACAAAGGGACAAAGAAAGACCCATGTGGATGCATGTAGCTGAAAACTCTTCAAGATAAGGCCATGCTTGTGTACGAGAAAATCTTGGAAGATATGCCTCTGTGAAAGCGAACAGCTGAACCATCTCATGAAACCATGGCCACCCAGCCCCATGCATATATGTGTGTGCGCGTGTGTTTATATATATAATCAAAAGGGAAAATTTATACTTCATGACTCTAAACTCTAAATGGAATATATTAAAATAAGATTTATGTTTTCAATTATTTTCATTGCAATATTTTTAGTCTCTAGTAACACTCCATAGTTATACAATAATTTAAAAAAAAATGCCAAAAAGTCAAAGATAATATTTTTATATATATATAGTGATAACAATATTTCGTTTTCCATTCTTCTTTATAAAATAATTTTAGAAATGATTCAATATCTCAATATATATATAAAAGATAATTTACGAAAAAGGTCCAATTAAATATGATTTTTTAATATTATCCCTCACTTCTTGTTATACTTTATATCTCTTTATTTTAATGTTTCATAAATAAGATTATATTAAATAAAATATATTTTTTAAAAATTATTAATTTTTTAAAAAAAAAGTTATAAAATGTATTTAACAAGCTTCATTAATATACATAATTTTATTTAAAAGGGAATATTTTTCAATTGTCGTTACAAAATAAAGATGTTGTAGTGCTTTTTGTTAAAATAAAAATACTTTATTACATATATTTTTATTTGAAATATCAAATTTTAATTAATTTTTCATCTATTAAACGTAATACATGCGCGTTCAAGACCCTTTTTAAAGTCGTCATACAATATGAAGTGGTCACGGATCACAAACACTAGTCCTTACACAAGCACATCACGTTGAACATGATGACTCATTAATTGACGAAAATTAATTAAAGTATACCAAGGAAACAAGTTTGCAAATTAAGTGGGATTAGTGTCTTGAAAACTCATCATCTGATTGAAGTCATCTCAGGATTAATACTCTCTCTCTCTCTGTTTTTTTTTTTTTGGAACTTCCTTTATTTTTTAACCTTGTTGGGAGCTAGCAGCAGTGAAAGCGACAATTACAGTACAAGCATGCATGTCGAGGCTAATAAGTTGTTGTTGAATAATATATACATATAAGCACAGTCATCAGTATCATACGTCTAATCCATCATCTCTCACTGATCATGAGTTGTGCTTCACGCAGCAGAGTGGCGTGAACTACCAAAAGCTCTTGCGAGCTCGAGACTAATATTATAGACATAGATTTATAGGTATATTATATATTATTAGTAGGTCATAGATGATTGAGAGTGTGTGTAAACTGTAAAGAGGCTGTGAGTGAGTGAGCTGTGAGCAGCATGTAATTCTGACTTGTTTCTTGTTCTTATGAGTCACAATATTCTCTTTCTTCTGAGCTATTGGCTTTTGTTTGGTTTTGTTAAGGGGAAGCAAATCTGAGTCAGGCGAAAACTGTGTTGTTCGTGTCAAATGTCAATGAGAGACAGAGAGATTCAAAATCAAATACTGCATCAAAATCAAAAGAAAGAAAAAATGGAAAAAGCAGCAACGCTTAGATTTGGAAATGAATGTGTTGCTTCAAGAAACCTCCGTTTTTGGGAAAAGCTTAACTAAACAAACTTGGTCATTTGCGTTCACTCCCAAGCAAATCCCCAGTTCCCAACTTCTCGTGTTTAACCCACTTTCTATTTATATTACGTTGGCCCCACAAAGGTCAAACCAACTACGCTTTCTATTTTTATTTTATTTTATTTTTGGTATTTTTTTTTTGTTGCACCAGTTAATCAGTCTTACTTTATTTCTTCCGTCTCATTTCATAGTACTTCATTTGTTAAAAAAAAATAAAATATTTTTTAAGAGATTGAATGTTAAAAGATATAAGATATTTTTAATATTTTAAGTTATAATTAATATATTTTTTAAAGTATTTATAATAAATAAATTATTTTATATTTATTTTAAAGTGAAACACTTTATTAAATAAAGGTACATATGCAAATGTTGTGTTAATTTGAAAACATTTAAATATGTTATTAGAAAATGAGATACGATTAAAAATATCTTAGAGTATTTTTTAATGAAGAGAGTATATTTTCTTTGAGTGATTTGATATTCAGTATAAGATATTTTGAGAAAATTAATACTCCCGTGCAATCAAAATATAAGGTATCAGTAAGTAATTCATAGTTTAAAAAAATGTAGGTTGAAAGCCTAATTTCTTAAAAAATTTGCATTTTTTTAATTTTACTCTCATTAAATACCTATGTAAGTGCTTTGATAATAATAATTAAAATTTTAATGCATCATTTTTCATAAAGAATAATAAATTAAGTAGGGGTATGGTTGAAAAAGTAATTACAAAAGTTACCCAATGTGCTATATTTTGAACTAAATAAGACTTCTAAAAGATACCCTATATTAGATTCAGGAGGCAATAATACATTAATAAAGTTTACCATAAAATTACTCCTCATTAATTCACAATTTAAATATATTTCTTTCTTTCTCTTATTAGATAAAGGGTATTTTCAAAATTTTATATAAAAATTAAGATTTTAAACTATATTTAATTGACTTCATTAGTATTTCACAATTTTACCCAAAAAAATCTTATATATGGTCCGATTAACAAAGTTTAAATTAATATTTTTTAATAATAAATTATATTACTTTCTTTAGATAATATACTAAAGTTACACTTGCTTTTTTTTTTCTAGAAAATAAATTTTAATTTAATTTTAAGATCTTCTTTCACTGATTTTAAGATCTTTCATTGCAACTAGGAACAAGAACTAAGGCTTCATTTGGTATATTAAAATTTTTATAGATAATGAATACATTAAATGAGAAAGAAAAGGAACTAGATCATCAAATAATTAAGAGTATGAAAGAGAGAAGCTTGCATGAGTGTTTTTCCTAATTTAATTCCAACCATTTGAATCTACACTTGAGATTTTTCATCACTTACGTACTCTACCAAAATTAATCCAGGCTTTTAATTGTTGCTACAATTTTAGACTAAAAATCTATATCACTTATCCTTAGAAATGTAATTATATAACCTATTTAAGCTCCATGAACTTAAATTCTTTGTTTCAAGAACGAAAAACATAAATGAATAGAGTGTGTTCACCAAGTGAACAACAACAGCAAATACTCTCTTTAATATTTGATTTATAATCAATAAAGTGCAAATATAATAAATTTAATCAGAGAAGGAAGGTAGTGAATTGAATGCTTAATTTCATCCAATTACTCTCACTACTGCAAAATACCCCCTTATTTGACGGTTATTTTAGAAATTATTTAACGGTTTTTAACCGTCAAGTAATGAGGCGCCATATATTTATTTGACGGTTAAAAACTGTCAAATATTTTAGAGATTACTTGACAGTTATTTTGAAATAACCGTCAAATAATCACTTAAACATTTGCATATATTGCAGCAATATACTTGACGGTTATTTTAAATAATCGTCAAATATTTAGTAATATTTAACGGTTATTTTATAACAAGTGTCAAGTATACTTTTGCAAATTTTGTGTGCCAAATACTTGACGGTTATTTCATAATAACTGTCAAGTATTCGTACATACTTGACGGTTATTTTGAAATAACCGTTAAGTAAACTTATACTTGACATTTCTTTCTAAATAACCGTCAAGTATTTATGATGTATTTTTTTAAAAGTTTAAGCAGCCCCCTACAAATACAAAGCAATCAAATATATATACTAGCCAGCCAACAATAAAAAAATAATTGAATCATTATTTATATTAAAATTATAATCTAAATATCTTTAATTTATCTTATATCTACCTATACTCTAAACCCGATGCCATAAAAAAATCTATAACTTTACCTATTTTACAAGTTTAAATTTCAAAATTAATTGGCCTCAGACATAAAATTGACCAAAAAAATAAATGTGTACACCAAAACTAATT